AAAGTGAACAAAAAAGTGTCTTACAAATATGCTGTTTCCACACCACTATTTGAGTTTGGAATAGTATCTGGATACACCCTATCAATGTTTGAATTTGAAAGGTCTAGCTTGCCCCTGGCTTTATTTTTAGAGAAAGGAGACATCCACATTGTACCCTGGACACGTTTGGCTGGTTCTTTGTCAAAGGAAATTACACGCCCCATTGAGCAACAATAGCTTTATGGAAATCATGGCCATGATAATTACCAGTAACTATGTGACAAGTGTATTGAATGGTAATTCATGATCTATTGGGAGAGAAATTTCACAGGTTATAAATTAGAGCTGGGATGACAGCAAGAACTTTATAGTCCAATTTAATGGATGTATTTTGTTAGGACCTGTACTGAAGAGGAATGTAATATACTGTAGTACATTGTAGAATATTCTGTGAAGTTTCTCTTCATTACTTCTGCCCATCTGGCTGTATTCTGCTGATCATTTATAAGTTCTGTGAGGTCTGGACAAAAATAAACTTGAGTTTTGGGCATAATTTGAGCTGTGGAAGAATTGATAAAAAATTGGAGCTGTTTTTGTGGTACAGATGTAAGTAATGTGAATCAGTAGCACTACGGAAAAGGAATTTGAGAAAGTTGAACTTTCACCTATGCCCTTGTTGAATTTTGGAGTTGAGAAGTCCCGGGGTCAAGCGTGAGTACTAGTAAGGATGTCTTCTTCCTGTTTGTTGGTGTGTGCAAATGTTTGGAGTCAACTTGAACCATTGACTTCTCTCTGTCAACATTTGACAACAGGGGAGAGGTACAGAAAGTCCACACAATTTCCTAGAAAGTCACACACCGGTATGACAAAGCTAATTTGCAAAAGTTGGGGCTTGTGAGGATACCTGCTGTGCTCCAAGTGTAGCTCTTCAAAAACAACAGCTTTTATGAACCTGACAGAGATACATGTAGGTGTCTGCTGTGCCGTTGTAGTTCGCAATAGAGCTCTGAAGTGTCCATATGACGATTGTCCTTTCTGGTGTAAAGTTGTGAATAGCTCAATCCTAAGTCAACAGAAACATTGTACTAGTATGAGAGTTTGTCTGTGTTGGTACAGAGCTAAAACTTTGTTCCCTGCACAATTAGCACTGACATCACATTGTCCTACTGCTACTGAAGAAGACTGCAGTAAGATAGTCAAGAATCTAATGTTGTTGCATCATGTGTTGGAAAGTTTCAGCTTTGTACTAAGAAACCTTGTTTAGTTATCATTATTCGGGTTTGACTGAAGTTGGACTCGGTGAAAGGTGACTCCATTTCGCAGAAGAGGGTAAGAAAAACATGCCCTGTTGGCCTGCAACAACAAAGTTCCAAAGAAAGCTGACAGCACTGTACTAGAAAAGCAATGCTTGGAAATGAGGTGTTTTGTACAAGTTGTAACATGAAGGGACGCAGGGCTGGCCTTTGTGATGAGTTTGAATGACAGTGACCTGAGGGCAGGTAGGCATTCAACTGTCAAGTTTGCTAGCAAGCACCTGGTAGGATTTGTGGGGTGGTTAGACTGAGGAAAGGGGTGGAGCTAGACTGAATGTTGCTCTTTTGTTGGTCTTGGTAATATGCTAGAATGAAGGGAGAAGGCATAAATGTGATGTCTTCAATCTAACCAAGTATATCGGGTCAGCCACACTAAAAATAATGTGTTTGGTTCTTTATCCTTCAACCTTTTTAAAGGTAAAGGTAGTAAGTTAGTTATTGCAAGGAGCTTCTTGGTTATTGCTTGTACTGTTGTACAATTATAGGGGAACTTACCTTGTTAGTCGAGTATCAGATAGTGATTTGATTTAGTAAAGAAGATTGATTTTGAATGCAAGTAGGATTCTGGTCTGGATCCATAGAAGAGTTGCTGAGCCCTAACCTGTGGTTTCGGATTGAATTTTGGGATCCCGCTTTTCAGGGAGGATATGGGTGGCATCTTCCTATCTCTACCTGCTTGTCACGCACCTCTTCATGCCCCAAGGGCAGAGGGATAATCACCACAAATTGGACAACAATAGACTGTTTTGTCCAGGTAATCAGATCAGTTGACCCCCTTTCAGCTCCTGTGAACTGTGACCAAACACCAGAACGAAGGTGGTGTAATAAATTAAGCTCCATTCAGAATTTACTAGATGATATACTCAACTTGCTAGTGTTCAATGAAGTTCTCACTGTTGATGGTAGTGGGCCGTACCACTACAACGTGGGGGACGTTAATGTTAGAAACTTCTTTGTGTATATTACTTATGTGGACATTGGTTTGATTTCAACTTGTTTATGATGGTGAATGTTTTTGTTGTAATTGTTAGGAATGAAGCGGAAGTGATTTTTAGCTACGTTAGCGGGGTCTTTTTCTGTTGAAATGGTCTCTTCCGAAGTTGGCCAGAGGAACACACCCAGGGTTTATTCATGGTTCGGGGCCAATGTAAATTTTGTGAAGGGAAGTGCACAGTGAGGCGTGCATTGTTGGAATTCCTTGCCGATATAAACACTAGGCTTCTGTGACAGCAGTGGCACAGGCGTGGATGGCAACAAGCGGGCCAGATTTGTGAGAAAAACAGGTATTTTTTGTGTGATCTGTCCCTTAGCAGCCTGGTAGGTGTGTATGTGTAGACCAGTTGGAATGTTGGAGAGGTGTAGGGGCTGTGTCCTGTGCGGAGGAATGTGTTGCACATGTGGATCAGTCCCTGCCTCTCAAAGTTTACATAATGGTGGCCCAAAGAATGTCAGGTCCTTTCATTGCTGTCCCGAATCGAGGGCAGTTGTATGTGGTCTTCTTCGATCCTTGTTGTTACTTTCTCTCTAGTTACTGTTTTGTCTTCTGGAAACTTTGATGCGGGCTGGCTTCATTGATTGTGGTGTAACTGTATCACTGATGACATCTGATTTGCATAGCGGCGGTCTGGCAGACTAGCTGTAGTTTCATTCATTGACCTACATAAGTCACTTGGAGGGGTTCCCAGTGTCAAAGTCTTTCCCTGTTATTTTGGACATTAGTATGTGGGGGAGGCAAGAGCTTGACTGGTACAGAGTAGGCTGTGCTGTCTAATTTTGCGAGTTAGAGCTCTCTTGCAATATTTAAAGGCAGGCGGTCTGTTGGCTTTCAGTTTTGTAGCGACCGCAACTGACTCGAAGGTGTCTGTGGATGTGAGCCATATGGTGGGTCTTTTTGTTTGGAATGCCGCGCTTTGCAATGTTTTCCTCTTTCACTTCACTGCCAGCGTCACTTTAAGATCTTCTACTGCACGGAAACCAGTCTTGAACAAGGTTTGTCTGTCAGGTTTATTCCTTCAAGTTTAAAGTTAACTTGTTTCCTTGCAAGGAGACATTTGGAAGATTTTGACACTGGAAACAGTTCTTGTTATTATGACCTTAAGGCTATCCCTCAAACTTTCAAAGTACTGTGCACTCACTGTATTTCCAGAAACTTCCCCAAACATTTCTCAATGGAAACCAAGACTGTGTTGATACTGGCAACTTTATTTGGGGGTGGGTGGAAGCTATACAAGGGAAGGGATACAAGAAACAGGGTCTGTTACCATTAGAAGCTAGGAAGTTTATCAACAGGTCTGCTGCCCTGGCTGTTGTTTTCTGCTATCTGTGAACTGCTGTGCCTTGTTATGGACTGTAGGTTAAAGGGCGGGCGAAACATATGGTAAAACTGTCGGAGAGGAAATTTGTTTGTTGGTCAAGGGCGTTCTTGGCACCAAGAAGGATACACTTTTAACTTCTCACTTTGAGTCTACATTTACTGTATGGGTATGCACACATCTTTATGTGAAATTTTAGGTTCACTTTTTGAAACTGTGTAGACTGTCATCTCAATCTGTTTTTATAGGAAAGTTTAATTAATTACCTGATATCACATTAAAGTAATTTTTTTTTAAGTCCAAGATCAAAAAAATAAAATTGGTGTGGTTTAGTAGAAAGAAATTTAAGGTAGCTTCTGAACAAGTTTTCACACTGCTGTTATTATTTTCATGGTGAGTGGTTTCAGGTGAGCATGTCAGGGTGATCGTTCCAGACATAGCTGGGAGGGAAGCCAGGGGTGGTCAGGGGTTCGTCCTACAGTAAAGAGAAAGCATTTATGCCATAGGTGTGACAGGGCTGAATTGATGCCAAGTCAGAGCCAAGGTTGACGGGTTGGCACTTTGGCACAAAGTGAGATTGCTCAAGGATTAGCTTTGCCATTGAGGTTAAACACAAAGTTGCAAAGGTTGCAAAACTGATATTTTTTTGCAAGCAATAAATACCTCTCATAGGTGACCAAGAGTGTTACATCATTGTGATGTAGATTGTATAATTCATACCCCCCCTTTCTGAATGGTATAGCCTCAAAACTTTGTATGAAAATCCTGGCATGCCTGGTGCTATGGTTATAAGTTGTTGGGTCTACAGTAAATGAAGTGACAGATGGAAAGGAAACATGGCATTGACTTATAGAATGCCTTGTTTTCTGTACCCATTATGTTGCTAAGACACAGGTAAGAGGAGTGAGAAATAATGTGGGACTGGTCCTAGACTTGACAGTGGTTTATGTTTCATGGGTGAAAGTCAAGCCAGTCTGCGGCCACAGTGTCTCATTGTGTACTTCAGTGTCAAGCTAAATATTTGTCACATAGTCGAGACTTGGACAAACAACTTCTATCCATGTAGCTGGACAATGTGTGAGATCTATGTTGGAGTGGGCAAGGGATCACATTTGCCACCTCCTTTCCCATAAAGATGTCTAAACTGAAGACATGTTATCACCAGTAGACTGTACTTTAACCCCCTGTCTGTGATTGGATGTGAGTTATATATTATGGTTGATATGAATATGAAGCAAGAGGAGCACCGCCTGGCATATGGTGAACAGGCCAGACACAAGGGCAAGTTTGCTTTGGATTAGCCCCTAGGAGTGTTATGGCTTTGTATTTACAGTAAATTAAACAGCTGCACGGATTTGTACGGTTTGTTAACCAGGGATTTTCCTTCTTTTTGCAGACGAACGAGAGGACGTGCAGAAGAAGACCTTCGCTAAGTGGATCAACAGCCAGCTTTCTAAGGTGGGTGGTCGTACCAAACTTGTGGCGCCGCCGAGGCGCTCGATTCGTCGATGTAGAGTGGGATTTTATGTACCGGTTGAAGAGAGTGTAATAGCAGAAGGCTGCGGTGCTGTGATAAATTGTCGTGCGTTTAAGCAACTCCAGGGAAGTAGAGACGAAGAAAAAAATCGCAAGACAAGGTAAGGAGCTAACCAAGCATGGAGGTTCCGGAGGAAGAGAGTCTCGGATTGCCACAACAGCTTTTTGGACAATTCGGACAAGGTTTACATTTCCTCTGGAGAATAATAGATACATGTGGTGGGTGATTAAGTCGATAATTACCCAGGTGTGCAGGTATTATCTTACAACAACTTATTTTTCTGCTGACTGGAAAGGTCCAGCTCTAATTATTGCCAGTGGACTAACTTCGCTAAGCAGTGGTCAGGTTGGTTGATTTGTAAACAGAGGTTGCACCGTGGCGAAATCTTTCCCATAAACAATGTCTATTCTTAGTGTGTTATCTGTTCCAGCACCTTGTAGTGTACTATTGTTGATTTAAGGCATCAAAGACTGAAAAAATATGATGATAAACCTTAAATTTGATTAAATAATTTATCTCAAATAGCTTGGTACTGTTATATTTCATAGTATTAGTCAGTCTTTCCAATATTGGCCTCACAAAAATAATCTGTTTTTCCACGGCTCCTACACAGAGGTGCTAGCAATGTAATTAGAACTCAAAGAGAAAAAGGGCTGCTAAGAAAGCCAGAGCTAGGATCATATTTAGGTATCAGTAATCCTATGTGGTAAGTGCTAATACCTCAATGTGGGTGGGATCGAAAATATTTAGTTTCTAATTTAGGATAATCAAAATAATCTATCAGATTAGTAATTGAGGTGAACCATTCTTTCCATAACGAAGTTGCTCATTGTGTTAGACAAGATAAATTGACACATTTCAGTAGGCACAATTACTGAAGATTCGATTTCTGATGGATGGTGTTGAAAACAATACAATCAGGTATCCAACTTGTTTTGTACATATGATCTTTATTGCATTTGCACCAGAGAATCAAGTGGTCCTTTATTTGGAACGTATCATTGTGGTAAAGGGGTAAACATGCTACCATGGGTGGCCTGGAGGTTGCTTAGGTCTGAGACAAAGAAGTGACCAATCGTAGGGATCAGACTGTGACAGAGCTTGTGGTTTGTGTTATTGATAATTATGGAATATGTCAACACCTCATTTTTGATATGATAACATCAACAGATGCTGTGTGGGATATGTTATCGATAGATAGGGACGGAAGGTATGAAGAAAATTTGCAGAAAAATGTATATATCTTGCAATAAAATAGAAACATCTTGAATCCTGGAAAGCTGAAAGAATACAGGATTGTAATAGCAGAAAACTGAAAGAAACTCTTTCTAGACATAGAAATGTTTAATTGCATTTAGTCATAACCAAAGTGCAAGGTTTCATGAACTAATATTATATGATTCCGCATTTAAGATCCATTATAGATAATTTTCCGAGAATATATGCCAAGTGTTCATTTGAAAGTTGAAATTTTCTTACAACTATGTAACACACTAGCGATCAGTATATCAATGAGAATTTAGTTCACCTGTACACCTATGAAATGCTAAGGTTAAGTTTTCGTCATAGTATTCCTCTGATAGTGTACCCTATTCCTCTATATTGATTGTATCATTCTTAAGTTGTACAGATTGATTGTTGATAATGGATAGTTATACACATAACGGCGACGTGGCCAGGTAACCCCGACTGTAAACTATTTAGCCATTGACGTTCCCCTGAGAGCCCGTTGTAGGGGATTCTGATAATATTGACAACGCTCTTGATGTGCACTTATGGTTGTCATACAATTACCTGTGGTTCGAGAAGGTCGAGAGATAACTGGACTACACAGGTAACTGGTTACTTGTTACTACTCTTCAGCGAGAGATAAGCGAAGGAATGTCTGGAGCCAAACGTCGGTCTACGGTACTTAAAATTCCCGCTGCGGCAAATACCGTTGTCCAGTGCCAGTATCCTGGGAACAAAGCTCTTGTACGCTCAAATACCTGAAGAAGACTGGCCTTAAAATAACTGGCATACCTTAAAGATAGTTTGTAGCTATAAGTAAAAAGGTGTATGAGTTTCATCTATGCGACTCTTGTAAACAAAAAGGAATTTGGAAGGCGTAGATAAGGTCCATCCAATTCGTATAGGAATATGCTAGTAGGAATGTCCGTATTTGGTGTTATGTCAACGTGGTAATAATTGGGAAAGGTATGGGTGTGTGTAAGACAGGGAGGAAGGTAAACTGTACACAGGTGGTGGGTACTTATGTCTACTGATAAAAAAACAAGATGGTTAGGTGCCTTGTGTCAACTGGAGTTAGTGTCTATGGTCACGTAGTAGTGCCGGACTCGTAAAGTCAATTGTTATGGGAATGGGTTGGACTTTGTAGAAGGTCGAGGTAATTCTGTTGTTGATTTTGTTGTGGTTGTTGTGGCAACAGTTTCCATGGTAACAGGGCATACAGTGAAAACTGCCTAAGTAAGAGACCACTCCGGGACTATGTGGACAGGTGGTCATTAAGTGGTATTCTTATCTATATAAATTATTATAATGCTTCTATATGAGTCACTAGTAGTATATACACAAGTCCTTATCATAGTCCTTTACATCCTGGCGGACCAGTAGTGTGATATGATATTAAGGAACTTGATCAAATGCCTGTCGTTTGTCTTCCAAAAGAAAATGAATTTCATAGACAGCCCCTGTCCTTAGTGGTTATCATGAGACCCCACCTTTTCTGCAGCTGTCGCTGTTGTGTCTATGTTCTGTAATAATCCACTTTGAGTTGGTGACTGAAACAATCGTAGGGAGCTTGGGTAACCTTTGCTGCCCTGAAATTCTAGGGCCTGTGTCTAGACCTTAAAGGATTTAATCAGGAATTCAAGATTCCTTCTCACAGGGGTGCCTTTTTAATTGATAGTAACTTTAGCCATATCTGCCTCCAACTATTCAAACATGGCCTTGAAGGAAGTGGTCGTGTTTTGTGCCCTGCTGAAGAATGAAAACATTGTAGTTCAACTTGATGAAAGGAAAGTGTCTTCCAATAGATAAGCATCAAAGAGCCAGAAGTCTGGGGGATGCTTTGTTTAAATTGAGATACCAGTATCATGTTTGTCTGGTGTATTTCTTCCTGATTTCAGATCACAATCTTAATCCCCCTTTTAGTTGTCTACAGTTTCCCTCTTGATGCTATAAAAGATCCAAACTCGCAGACTTTTCATAATCAGAAATGCCAGTTCTAAATCTCGACTACCGTGTATCCTGCGGCTTCTATATGACACCATTCTGAAGTTTTATCAAGATATTAGAAGCTAAAAGTGCTTCCAAAGGGTGACAACAGAAGGTATGTACATTGTCTGATTTTCATCTTGCCACAAATGTGAATGCCAGTCACAAATTTGGCCTCAGTTTCCAGCTTTCTTCAAAAGTAGCGTAGAGGTTGCTGCCCTAGTCATCTGTCTTCCTTACCCTAACAAGTAGACAGTGTGTTAAAGCCTTACATCCACACCAGCAGGAAGTTCAGAAGTTCAGACTATTGTGTAGGTCTGTGGGAGGGGGGACCAAGGCCAAGGGCAATCCTATTTCTATAACCTCCAGCCACATGGGGAAACCACTCTGACCAAGTGTGTCGACCACCCAGAGTTGCCTTGGCCTTGAAATCCTTTCAAAACTGCCGCTCAGCTAGGGAAAAATATTGGCTAAGTTACAAAGTGGCCAACATTTAATTGTATGTCTTCTACTCTGTAACTTTGTGTATTATATAAAAATTATATTGTGAAGTAAAGATGATAGATTTGTAATAAAACTATACTATAGTTTGTAAGAAAGAAAATTGGGAGAACTGTCATTTTGTCTGCATTTCGATTTAACAAGGTAAAATCATAACAGCCATGTGACATCATTTTACCTGCCTGCTTCACCTCAAATTAATTCTAAACCTCTAACACATGTGCCCCTTTGCCCTTTCCCTGCTTATCCCATTTACTTTTGCCTGTACTCAAGGCTTTTGAGCATTAGTGGAGACCAGGTAATGGCCTCCCACGGGGCAGGTGCCATCCTGTGTAAGTCCTACAAACTTAAAATTAATTTACTGTATCAGCCCTGCAGGGAATGTTGACCTTGAAGCAAATGTAGACTGAAGTACACTGTTGGGGTGAATGAACTGCCCACAATGGCATTGACCTTTCTGTGTCCATCCATGCAAAGATTCAGTGTGAAAGGTGAAAAGACGTTGTAAATTTCTTGCTAAGCAGGCTTGGGTCATGGGCACTGGCTCCTTTCTGGGGGTAGAGTACGGGTTATAAATAAACATAGAAGAGAAATTTTTACTACAAATGTCTGCTTCTACTTACGTGTTCCTGTTCTGTCTAAATTGAAAGTGTGCAGATATTTAACCAAAGTAGTAAAACTTGGAACTTTCTGGATATTACTGTCTGTTCTTGATTTCCAGCAAGTAAACAGCTGATTTGGCTAATGAACTTTGAAGTGATGTTGGAGACTTACGTTTGCTTGTGTAATGTCTAACAATTTTATTATAAATGTATGAAATGTAGAATGATCCCCTTTCATTGATCAAAATGTGGTCCTATTATTATTGCTTTACTGCAGGCTCAAATTGACACAGACAAGTACAGAAATCACTGTAAAACTAAAAAGATGGACTATGTATAAACGATACCGTCTGAAATACAAACTCTTGTTTTGTAAACCAATGAGAATTTCCGCTACAGGAATGAAAACTCCCGGTAACCTACCCACAGTCGATCGCAGGTATCCAAGATTGTTGACAATTGCTTGAGTGAGTTTTCAATGGGAGACAGTGGCTTGACATGGAGTGATGTTTCTTTGTTTATCAATGTCTGAATGCACCTGGATTAAAATTTCCCAGCAAACAAAATGCGGGTAGTATGACTGCATATGGGTCCACCCTGCC